CCCTATAGGTGTCCATGGTGACCACGGAGAGAAGAACATCTTTGAGGAGCCGAGATAGGAACAGTCATGGGGGACAAAGGGGTCATCCACCTGCAAGGCTCCCTGGTCTGTCTGAGTCATCATCATGAGACGTTGTAGCCAAAACAGTATCCTGCTGTACTTGTGGATGACGTGTCTCTGGCCCCCAAAACTCAGGTTGTAGGAGGGCCAGCCTGGTGTCTGAAGGCCTTTGTCATGGAGCAGCTCATTCCTGGTATAACTACCTTGGAGGAGATGGAGCTCCATAGGGGACGGCGTTGAGAATGCTGGACAGGACCCATGCCACCCAGAGCCCAAAGGGCAAGAAGGGCATCCTCAGAGTGACCGATTCCTCTGCCAGCCTCATGTCCCCTCTTGGGGACAACTGTCAGTGGGAATGGAGAAAGGGAGGATCCTCAGAGAAGGCAAGACCCAACCACCTGCCCTGGCCAATCTTTGCCTGGGCAACAGTGAGAAAATCTACCCTGGGTGGGGCAGCTGAGGGGACTAGGCAACAGTGACAGGGTGTGACCAGGAGCCTTGAAGTCAGCTGGGAGGTCAGTGTGAGCCCAGACACGAACCTCCCTGAGGGAGACGAGGTCTGGGATCCAGGGGGTGCTCAGGAGCTCCAGGGGATTTCTTTCTTTCTTTCTATCTATCTATCTATCTATCTATCTATCTATCTATCTATCTATCTATCTATCTATCTATCATCTATCTATCTATCTATCGTATAGAGACAGTGGCCGGAGGGAGATTGAGAGGGAGAGAAATATCCACATGTGAAATATTGCATTTCACTCACCTCCTACTGGAATCTGGATGTCATCCCAAGCATGTATCCTGGCCTGTGACCTTACGGTTTATATGTTATCATGAGCCCCACTAATCAGGGCTAAAATACTTTTATGTGGGAAAACCTTTAGATATGGAGGGAGACAAGAGGATGGAGATGCAGCGGCTTTCTGTACATGGGGTCATCAATGATATTCAGGGTCGTTCATGTGCATAAGAGACAGCATTGTCACCATGAAGCCTTGAGGGTATCAGGGACATCAATATCACTGGCGAGTGATCATGACAGAAGAGGGAATCAGAGCCATTGGGCTCACTAATGGGCACAAGGGACATCAGTGTCACCACATGGCAATCAAGACACTGGGGTCTCAATGCAATTAAAGGGAGGGGTCCGGCTCTGAAGCTGGTTCCCAGGGGGTTTGAGGAAGGGCTTCCCTAAGGTCATTAATTTCTTCACCTCCTTTTATCTCTTGGGGTCATTCCTGCTTCATTTTATGTGTCTTTAATTTCTTACCCTCCCTCATCCAAAAAAAGGAAAGAACTGGGTAAGTAGATAAGGTTGCTTTCTCATCCAGGGTCTTATTTTCCCCCTAACTCTGTACTGTCTGTACTTTTGGGTCGACAAACAAAACAGTTGAATATTCACACTAAGCCACAACTGAGGATGATTCCCCTGCTACAGTGCAGCTTTAAGCCTGCTGTTCTGAATCCATGGGCTGAGTCACACCCTCTTCCCCACACACCACAGACCGTCTCACTTGCGAATGATCAGCGCTGCCAGGACCTCTGATTGCTGGGGAGCAGTGAGTCACTTTCCTCTCCCCAACATGGTTGGGCATTAAGCAATGAGTGACTGCCTCTCGCATATTCCCTACTGGGGATGTGGCAGCAACCTCAGCATGTGCCCTGACTGGGAATCAAAATGGCCACACCAGCTGAGACTCTGTGATTCTATTTTATATCAGTGAACTGGGTGAGACTGGTCACCCTTCCTAACCTGTGAGACCTTGCCTAACAGTTGAAGACCTTCGGGAGACCAATGGAATCCTCCTGCTTGAGGGCCTTGGAACTGGAGATTCCACATGAACTTTGGTCCTGTCCCCAGTTTCCAGGACACATGGGGCTCTCCTGCATCTGAAGTCTGTGTCCCTGGTCTGGAACTAATCTTGAGGCTCCTCTGTGACCCTCATATACAATTTCTCCTCCATTTTCACTGAACCTCATTTCTTTCATAGTCTCCTATTTCCTCAGAGCCACTGGGCAAGGGCAGGATGTGTTTCCCTCCCAGGGACCCCAGGCTGAGTCAGGTGTGACCTGGAGGTGGACACAGTTCCTGTCAGATGAAGGGCCCATCAGCCCTGCCTTGTCACTCAGGCTGTGTCCCTCCCTCCCTTTGTCCTCATTCTGCTGTTTCCAGGATGGTTTGGAGACCATGACAGAAGACCCCTAGCTCACTATGATAATTATTACTGTTTGTCCTAACTCAGCACAACCTCTGGTCACAGGAACTTTCTGTCCATTTCAGGTGATTACCTGTTGACTCCTTTCACCTGAGTTTGTTGTTGTCTTTCCATGTGCCATACATCCTACTCTCTGATCAGGAAAATGGCAAAATCACCTGTTTATAAGCAAATAGAGGAAACTCAATAGCAAGAAGTGCTCCGTCCTCACCACAAAATACCACCTCCCCTTCAAAAGAAGAGAACATGGACCACTGTTCTCATAGAAAAGAAGATGCAAGAGCTCAGATGAGCCTTGGAGAAAAAATCCCTGGGGAAATAGACCACTCTCACCACCACAGTGGTCGTGTGCTTCCAGGTCTGTGAGAGACGGAGGGTCAAGGGTGTGGGGGCTGGATGCCTAAAGGGTAACTGGGGTGGGGGCAAGAGATGGGGAGTTATTATTTAAAGGCCACTCGGTCAGTGTGGGATGGTGAGAAAGTCTAGATTTGTAAGGTGACAGGTTGCAGAATCTTTTGAATGTGTTTAACATCACTGTGTGCACTTAAAATAGATTAGCCTGGTGAATGTTTGGAGCAAAACCCTCAGAAGTGGTGGGGCTGTTCTATGAATGTTTCCAGGAAAATGGAACCTGGGAAGAGGGGGAGCCTGTTCCAGGACTCTGGGCTACAGGGGTCCCTGGGCTGAGAGATGTGTGAGAAGTGTAGGTGTGGGACAAAAGACAGTGGGTGAGTCACATCCTGAGAGAGTGCAGGATATGGCAAGGACCCGGAGCCTCATTGAGGGAGATATGATGAGGGTGGCATGTCATTAGGGCCCAGCACTTTCTGACTTACAGTGTCACCAGGGTGAGTTATTGAGATGTATGGCAGTCCAGGACACTTACCACACACAGGGCCATGCCACACAGAATGGGCTCAACCTTCTCAGGAGACATTTTGTCCCCATGAATTTTCACTTTGTAGCATCCTCTGAGCAGCTAACATGGCAAGGCAGTGAGAAAAATGAAAAAAAAATACTCAGCAGGTTCACTTCTCTGGGTCTCAGTCTCTAAAGCTCCTGGAAAACAGAAACAGAGACACCCAGGTGCCCACCTAAAATGTGTCTCTGGGCAGCATCACAGGAAAAAGTGCTGGGGGAGGACATGTCCCTTCTCAGGGCTCCTGGGGCAGGTGAGGACACATGGGGCTGGGCAGGGTCCTAATCAGGGGCTCAGTTCTCTTCCATATTGGGGAGAGAACAGGAGTGGGTTACAGAGCAGAGGTGTACACTGGGACATAGGTGTGCTGTCGCTGGAGGAGATGTCCCCACAGCCTCTCTCCCTTGGCTTCCACCTCCCCTTCTATCATGTGGTCACAATGGCTTGGCTGCATCCCTCCTGACAGGTCCCCTAGCTACTGGAGGACAGCGGTGCCATCCGCTTCACAGATGCCACCTCGGTCTTACGAGGTTACAACCACTCATCACTCTCACCACTCCTGTCAACAAAGGGGGGATCTCTTGAGACATTTGTCACCTGAGGAAATCTCTCAGATGATCCTTAGATGCCCTCAGTCTGTTAGATGTGCCCCAGGCCTTGCTATGCACTGTTAGATGATGGGCTCTGCAGTGGGGAGTTTCCGTGGATGGAAGGTGTTGGGGACTCAGGCAAGCAAACCTGGTTTTAAGCGTTTACCAGGCTGTTGAGTCCCATCATAAATTTCACTTGTCTTAAATGTTTGAATAAAAGATACAGCTAGTTTGTACTTTGGTTTCTGTTCATCTGTCACCTTGGCCTTCATGATGCACCTTCCCAGGACATCTCCAAATCTGTCTCCAGGCTTTCAGATGAACATGGAAATAACAGATTCCAAACTGACCTCTGTGACCAGAAAGCAGGTCCCGTCTTCCTCAAGCACCTCAGGACACCTGCTGGCCCAGAGTCAGTGTCTGTGTTTCTCTGGAAGAAGCTGACTCCAGGTCTCAGGGCCCCTTGTGGTCTAGGAATCTGGCATGTGTCCAGAGCAGCTCACCTGAAGGAAGAGGCTGCACTGTCCTGGGGAAGCTGAGACCAAAGGAAGGGCACATCTTGTGGAACACCTGTGTCAGCTTCAGGGTCTCAGCTGGACTCTAGGCAGCAGATTCTAACCTCATGGCCAATTCTCTGGAGCTGGACTGGGACAGAATCTGCACCTGCTCTACCACCTGCAGGCACAGGGGCCTCAGCCAGGGCAAGGGAAAGACTGTTGTTTACTTTCAAATGTTAATACATGAAAATTTACATCAAATTATTTTTCACAAGAAATTATGATTATCTAATCTGGAAAGTCTGTGTGTACTTTATGTATTTCTTTGGACTTGGGAAGCTGTTTAGGGATATAGTGTTAATCTATATTAAGATCCATGTGAATAATTTATGAAATTAAAATAGTGTGACCCTTCACCCAGTCTAGCTTTAAATGTTCAACATTGAAAAAATGGCAGTCCATCGGCATGTTTCAAAGTTGACAGATAACCCAGCTACTCTCCCATACCTGACCTACACCAATCAGTCCAAGAGAAGGAATGTGCTAAGGACACTGACGGAGAGTGGCCTCAGTCTCTCCCCACTTATGTGAATAGAGATACTAACATGCAAATTTCTGTTTCAGCTCCAGATTAAATCCTCCCCTGGGCTGTAGGGGCTCACAGCTCTCTCCTGACACAGGGCTGAGACTCTGGTGAAGACAGACCTGCGTATAGAAGATGAAACTGCTGGGTCTGTTCCTGTGCCTGCTGACAGCCCCCCAGGGTGAGTGTCTCAGGAGTCAGACACGGGTCTATGGGATGGTGGTGACTGCACATGACTGACAGGGACAGATGCTCTTTGTCCCCAGGTGTCCTGTGCCAATGGAAGCTGCAAGAGTCAGGCCCAGGACTGGTGAAGCCCTCACAGACCCTCTCCCTCACCTGCACAGTGTCCGGTGGCTCAGTCACCAGCAGTGACTACTGGAACTGGGTCCGCCAGCCTCCAGGGAAGTCACTGGAATGGATGGGGTGGTGGTCAGGAAGCACAAGATACAACCCAGCGTTCCAGGGCCGCATCTCCATCACTGCTGACACATCCAGGAACCAGTTCTCCCTGCAGCTGAGCTCCGTGACCCCTGGGGACACAGCTGTGTATTACTGTGCAAGAGACACAGTGAGGGGAAGTCAGCAGGAGCCCAGACACAAACCTGCTTAAGGGAGCCACTGGAGGGCTGTGCTGCAGGGGCCACTCAGGACACTAGGGGGCAGTCAGGACCCAGATGCCAGGTATCCACAGCAGAAGCTGGTGTAGGTGGAGGCTGAGAACTGGCTCTCTCCATAGTCTGGCTTTCCTCTCCATCTGACATCTGCTTCTGCATCTTCTCCAGAATCTGGACCAGGACTCCAACAGGAAAGACAACTCAGCAGCAAGTGGAAGTTCCCAGGGCTTACATGTCAGCAGCTAGCTGAGTGCTGGTCAATCCTGCCAGAGAGGAAGCTTGGTGATGTGGGGGTCATTGTCCCCACACCCTGCACCCAGCATGGTTGGCTGCAGCCCTTGTGTGAGCCCAGAATGGTTTCCACCCAAATGAGCTTTAGATACACAGTCTTATATTGACCACACCCACACAATCAGATGGTGTTCAATTTTTTCAAAGATTGTATTTATTTACTCATAGAGCAGGGAATGGATTGAGAAAGAGTGAGGAAAACATCAGTATGTGGTTCCCTCTCTAGTGTCCCCTACTGGGAACCTCTCCTGCAATCCCAGCATGTGCCCTTACTGGGAATCGAATCTGTAACCCCTTAGTTCGCAGGCTGTTACTCAATCCACTGTTCCACACCTGCCAGAACCAGAGCTCAGTTTTGACATCGTCGAGCCCCAGGAGGGTGATGAGGCCTCCCCAGCAGGGGTGAAGTGACTTCCAGGAGCCAGACCAAGAGCTTTCCCTGGGTTTGCATGGTCAAAGGGTAAAGGTTCTCATGATGGGCAGGGACTTGGGTAAACTGACTGACCCACATGGGGCAAAGGAGTAATTACTCAGGATTTTCAAAATCAATGTTTTCAGATGAGGGTGACTGGGATGCAGAAGGGGAGGCTTGGAAACTCCCAGACTCCAGCATCAAAACATAGGCTCAGACCCCTGAGTCCACCTAACAATTGTAATAGCAAAGGAAAGGGGCATAGTCATGCATTGGGGTGCACAGCATCCCGGGATCTGGAGCAAGCAGATGAGAACACACCAGGGACTAGTGTGAGGACTTGAAGGGGCATTTGAGAGCCATTTTCTGCTGTCTGCGGTTTTTCTCACTTCACCACAGGTCATTGGTCAGCTGCCTCCTTGCAGGGATTGCAGCTTCTGGAGTATCCAAGAGTCCTGAGTTAGACGTCCTTCACTGGAGTTGTACTCAAAGGTGTGGGATTCACGTTTGCTCTGTGAGGTGAAAGGTATGAATGGAGGGTCTGCACTGGGGTTTTACTGTAGCCTTTGTCATTTACACACATGTTAAGTTCTCCCCCTGAGCTTCATCAGCCCTTTTCCCTGAGTCCCCTTTCATCACATAACTCTCCTAGTGGTAGATCATGAAATCGCTATTGAGGACGATGTGGGGAAGGTCATCTGAGTCTGATGGGACTGGGGAATACAGCAGCCATTTAAAAGCTAATTTAGGGGTTCACTTAACTGGAAGGGAGTGCCTCCATAGCTCTTTCAACATTTTTAGGGAGTTTGCATGATTGTGTTTGCAATCAGTACTGGCCAAAGTCGATTGCCCTCCCTGATATGGGGCCCTGCCCAATCCTTGAAGCCCTGCAGGGAACCAGTGTGACCCTCCCATCAGAGGGCCTTGGAACTGGAATGCCCCCAAGAGCTGTGTTCTGCCTACAGCTCTCAGGGCACACGGGCTCCTCCTGGGTCTCAGGCCTGCCCTCCTTGGACTGGAACTGAACTTGAGAATCCTCTGTCACACTAATTGCTCTTGCACCTTGAGTTACTCTGAACCTTCATCCTGTCAGGGGTCTCTTATGTCCTCAGACCCGCAGTGCAGAGGAGGACATGTGTCCCTGTCACAGGAATTCCGTGCTGAGGTTCGTGTGATATAGAGTTGGACCGAGTCCCTATCAGACCCAGTGTTGCACCAGTCCTTCCCCCATCACACAAGCTGCATCCAATCCTCCTTCGTTCTTTTTGTCTTGTTGGTTCCAGCATGAACAGGAGACCATAACAGGGGGCCACAGGCACACTATTGAAATTACTACTATTTTTCCTAACTCAGCACAGACTCTGGTCATGGGGGCTTCCTGTCCATTTCATACGATGATGTGTTGACCACATTCACCCAAGTTTGCTGTCCATCATTCCTGTGCCATGTCCCCTCCTTTCAGATCAGAAAAAAAAACAGCAAGAACACCTGTTTAGAGCAATAAATTCTTGTGAAAATGGCAGAAAAAATAGGTAACTCAATAAGCAAGATTTGTTCCATCCTCAGCACAAAATGGTATCCCCACTTAAAAAGAAGAGCAAGTGTGAAGATGCAAGAACACAGGTAAGTGTTGGAAACACAAGGGACACAGAAAAGGCGCCTCCCTCAGAACCACAGTGGCTGCCTGCTCCCGCATCTGTGAGACATGAAGGTCAAGGGCATGGGGTTGGGCCGAGTAAGGGAGCTGCGGGGGGGAGGGATAGGAGAATTATTATTTAATGGGCACTGGGTCAGTTTGGGAAAGTGAACATGTCTGGATTTAGATGGTGATGGTTGTTTCACAAATTTGTGAATGCACTTAATATCACTGTGTCCATTTAAAATTGATGAGCAAGGTGAATGTTAGTTAATGTGAGTTTAACCACACACACCACAAACATGCTAATGAGAGAGTGCATGTGTTTTCCAGGAGAGGTGGTCTTCCTGATCATGAAGAGTTTGAATAGCATCAGAATTGCAGGCAGGGTCTGGTATGGGAGGTCTTCCTGAGAGGCTCTCTTTGGGGCAAGGACCTAAGAAGGGGTGAGACTGTCTCTTGGGTGTTCCCATGGAAAATGTGATCTGTGAAGACGGGGAACCTGGTCCAGGATTCTGGGCCACAGAGTCCATGGCTGAGAACAGTGTGTGAGGTGGAGGTGTGAGGACAGGGAGTGTGGGTGTGTCATGTCCTGAGATGACCGAAGGGGACTCATGCATGCCATTATGTTCATCATACATGGGACTGTGGTGCACAGCTTGACCCCCCTTTTTAGGAGACACTTTTTCCCTATGAATTTTCACTTTGCAGAGCACTCTGAACAATAACCAAAATTTCCCACTGCTCTCACCTGATGTGGGAGTGAGGAAAATGATAGGACCTTTAACAGGTTCCACTTAGGCAGGTCTCATGGTCTGAAAAGCTTCTGGGAAATGGATGCAGAAACACCCAGGTGGCATCTGAAATTCATCTCTGAGCAGTGTTGCAGAGACAGGTGAGGGAAGAACAGGCATGTCCAGGTTGAGGGGCCTCTGGGTTCTCTTGAGGACGGAGAACACTGGGCTGGCCAGGGCCATGAGTGGGGCCTCAGGTCTCCTCCTCCACACTGGAGAGGGGCCAGCAGTGTGATACAGAGCACAGGTGATCCCTGGGGTACAGGTGTGCTGCTCACTGCATGAGGCATTCTCAGCTCCCTCGGGGTCCAGCTCCCTTTCCTTCATTCTGGTCACAGCTGGTCTGTGCTCTGTGTTCCTCATAGGTGTCCCGCAGCACTAGAATGACAGTAGTGCCATCCCCATCGCAGATACCACCTTGATCCCATGTGGCTGTACCAACCTCTCACTGTCAACTCTCTTGTCAAGATAGGGGGAGTTTCCTGGGACATTTTTCACCTAAGGGCATCTCACATCTGTTCCATGGATGCCATCAGTGTGTCAGATGTGCCCAGACCCCACTGCACACTATTAGATAGTGAGCAACGCAGTGGGCAGTTTCTGTATGTGGAGGGTGTGTAAGATAGGGAAGCAAACAATTTTTTTCAGCATTTACCAGGCTGTTAAATCCCATCAGGGGTTTGACCGCAGTTTAGTGCTTAATAAGAGATACAACTACTGTGTACTTAGGTTTCCCTTCATCTGTCACTTTGCCCATCATGAGCCCACACTCCCCTTCCCAGGACATCAGCCCTCAGATCCACCCCCAGAGTCTCAGGTGAATGCAGGTAAGACAGTTTCTAAACCAACTCCCTGTGAGCAGGAAGCAGGTCCCTTCGTCTTTGCACATCAGGGCACCTTCTGGCCCAGAGTCGTATCCTGTTTGTTTCTGGGAAAAGGTGGCTCTAGGGTCTCAGTGTCCCACATGGTATAGAAACCCAGGAGTCCTCCTGATTGGCCCATGTTTGAGGAGGAGCTGCCTGCCCTGAATGCAGTGGGACACAGGAAGGACAGAGCATGGATAACACCCGTGCTAGCCATAAGGCCTGGTCTAGACTCTAAGCAGCGGGTCCTAGCCAGTGTGGCCCATTCCCTGAAGCTGGACTGAGACAGAGGCTGTAATTGCACCACCACCTGCAGGAATGGGGGCGTCAGGCAGGTCAAGGGGAAGATTTTTTTTCTTTGTAACAATTTTTTAATCAAAGTTGATTGGAAATGTAATTTCATGTGAAATTATAATGATCACATTTGGAAACATTGAGTGTACTTATGTGTTTCATTGGATTTGGGAAATATTTGCATATAATGTGAACCCATTTTATTAAATAATTGAATGCCCTTTGCAAATAATATAGAGTGAATAAATCATCTAGTCCAGCTTTAATTTTCAATAGTGGAAGAAGGGCTGTCCATTGATGTTGAAAGACAATTTATCAATGTGAATCAACCTCAATTTTACTGGAGTGAAACTAAGACTAATTTGTTTACTGCATTAATTTGAGTTTCCTATCAGGCCATTTATTGGCATAAACATAACGGGAGTAACAATGGATTATGGAGGCTCTCTTAAATGTGCTTTGTTAGAATCTTATAAAGATTTCAAGATTGAGCTTTCATTACCGCATGGGGCACCAAAGCCAAGCCAGAGGCTCCAGGTCACCACTGTGTCATGAACACATGTGTCTCCCCTCTATGTGTATATGTTTAATTCCTCACCCCAGAGAGAACAGTATTAAAAAGTGAGGCTTTGGTTGGTGATTGGGTCAACAGTATGCCCTGTGAATGGGTTACTGCCTTACTCAGTGAGCTCAGAGATTTTGCTGACCCTACTTCCATGGTAGGAGTGAGCTGGAATTGTTGGATGTGATGCTGGAAGAGGGGCCTCACCAGAAGTGATGGACACCATGGAATATAATCAAAAGGAGACCAGGCTGCCTGACACTCAAAAGCCAAGACTCCAGAGTCAGGTGCTGAGGTGAAAGAGAGTGGTTTCATTCATGCACTGGAACCCAGAAAGATGAAATACTCACATCTGAAAGCCCATGAACATCTCTCACTGCAGGTACACCTTTTAAAGGGAGTTAGAGTGACAAAAAAAAAAAAATACAAAGAGACTGTGGACTTGCAGGCAGTGTCTTGGCTGTCCCAACATAGACCGTCACTGTCATCATTCTAGAACTGTTTTCGTGCCAGTTTAATTCCTGGATTGTGCCATCTGTGTCAGCCAAATCTGTGGTCAAGGCTATTTCTTGTACAGCAGGGATGGAATTGGTAGTCCTTACTATATACTTGTAAAACACCTTCAGTACATGAGTTAGTATGAGTTGGTTAGTACATCTTGACAATTCTATTTCATGGTAAGTTATATCAGTAGTTTATATTCTCTGTTACAATTCCCAGCTCTCAATTCTTCTTCCATATCTTTGGAGTTGCTGATAGCCTTTGAAGATCCTGAAGGAATAAAAAACCTGAGACTGTTGGAAAACAATTTCTTGAGATTTAAAAGCAGATGTATTTTCTGGAGGTCACTATAGATCAGATACTACTTTTATGGCATAGGAAGAACAAGTTGTAGAGAGATATGTGAAATGATTCAGACAAGGATTATAAACAGAAGAATGGTTAAATCTACATTAAAATATTTTATTTGGACCTAAATCCCTGAGGTATCTCTGAAAATACCAATAGACCAATGTGGAGTTCACATAAACACAGGGATATGGTGATCCAATGATTGTTGATGCCAGGTAGCCAGTGCATGGCTGTGGAGATGGAGATTTCCATCTGAGCTGAGGGGTCAATGTAAGAACAACAAGAGGAGTTGATGGTCATGTAAATCCTGCTGGTTCTGCTGGTATGTAGTCTAAGGCATTTTGATTCTCTAAGACAACTTTAGCTACAGGGACCCAAGTTTTCTTAATATTAGCATGTTATGTGTCATTTTTTATAGTCTCTGGGTGATAAAATTCTTGGGGATATTCTGCAGTACAGGCTGATGTGAAGCTGCTCCCCACCAGCGTCCTAGAGTCCATCCAAAGAAATATTCATTCTTCGGAATTTCTCCGGGAGATCTCATGCCATTTCGGTGAAGGTTAACAGGTTGCCCTGGAGTGCCACCTGTCAAAATTGTTTCAATTACTTTCTTGTGGGTTTCAGGAGGGAAATTGTCACCTCTGAGTCCCCCTGAACATGTTACAACCATATGTAGTTGGAGTATGTGTGGCAGTGAGACCTGAGAGAAAGCTGCTGTCTTTAGATTAATATTTTCCTTGGTAGACAATTTACAGAACAAGCCCAGTTCTAGCAGATGGAGGGCACGTTCAGGCACAAAGAGAAAGCTCTGTGATAACTTAAAATCTCTGAGGTGACATTTTAATGGGTTGAAATAGGCTTTCTGCTGCATTTGTCCCATTACCCTTATGATCGAGTCTGTTATGACAGTTTGGTGTTTGATAGGGAATATGTGTGTCCCAAGTGTATCTGAGGCTCCTGTGGAGAAATACTGATGGGTTGTGAGGTAAGTAGAGGAACCCCTTGCCTCCTCCTGCACCTCAGGGCTGTATCCTTGGACTAACCTTCACATTCACTTTCTCTTCCATTTGCTCTGAACCCCCTTTCTACCACATTCTTTTCTTTCCACACAGTCAAGGGGCAGGGGCAGGATCAGGTCTCCTGTCCGAGGGATTCAAAGCAGAATTTCATGGGACTTGGAGGAGGACCAGGTTCCTGTCCTATGAAGTGCCACACCAGCCTTCCAAGTCTCTCATAGTCTGTGTCCTTCCCTCCCCTCATTCCTCATCTGGCTCATTCCAGGATGGACGGAGACCATGACAGAGGACCCCGAGTTTACTATGGAAATCATTACAATTTGTCCTAACTCAGCCCAACCTCTGGTTACAGGTGCTTCTTGTCTATTTCATGTGATCACCTGTTAATTCCTTTCACCTGAATTTCCTGTCTGACTTCCCTGTGCTGTACCCCTTACTTATTGATAAGGAAAACAGCAAAAACATCTGCTTACAACAAACTGCATACTTTGAATATCATAGAGAAGGAATAGGACACTGAATAGCAAGATGTGCTTCGTCCTAAACACAAAATTTCATCCACCTGAAGAAGAAAAAGCTGACAGTTGCAAGAACAGAGATGAGCCTTGGACTCACAATGTGCAGGGAAATGAGTCACTCTCAGGATCACAGTGGCTGTGTGTGTCCACGTCTGTGAGAAGCTGCTGTGGTCAAGGGCATGGGGACAGATCCAGAATGTGGTGCCTGGGGTGTGGGCAGGAATTTGGAGTAGTTTTTAAATGTCACTTTAATTTAGTGTGAGAAAATGAGATTTTCTGGATCTGGATGGGGACGATGGTTGCCCAAGAATGTGGATGGACTTAGTGCCCATGGGGGTCCCTGGATTGCTCTGCCCATTTAAAATGGATTCTCATGGTGAATGATAGTTACTGTATGTGTTACCACAAACATCATACCAGCTCTAATGAGGAGTGTGCACAGATTCCCAGGAGCAGTAGTGTCTCCTGACACAGCAGGGCAGGAATGGGGTCAGGGGTCCAAGCAGGGGTGACATGGAAGGTCATTCTGAGGAGCTCGTTTGTGGGCAAGAACCTCAGAAGTAGTGACACTTCCCATGAGTGTTTGCAGGGAAATGGAATCTGGGACGAGGGGGGCCTCACCCAGGATTTAGGTCATAGGGGTCCCTGGGTTGAGAGAGGAGTGTGAGGTAGAGGCATAGGGACAAAGACATTGGGCAAGTCAATGCTTTAGATGGTGCAGGGCATTACATGTGTCTTTGTGTCTCTTCCAGGGCGATGCAATGTGGGTGGCATGTCATTAGGGCCCAGCACCCTCTTTCCCATGGTATCAGCAGGAGGGTGGGGGAGACACGTGACTGACCATGATGCTCACCCCACACAGGACAGTGTGGCATGGAATGGGACCTCCCTTCTCTGGAAACACTTTGTCCCATGAATTTTCATATTGCTGCATCCTGCATGCAGGTGCCCAACATTTCCCTCTGCTCTCACCTGGCCTGTGAGTGATAAAAACGACAAGACCTTCAACAGGCTCCACTTATCTGCAGTCATGGTCACTAAAGCTCCTTGAGAACTGGGACATGGAGACACCCAGGTGCTCTCCTTAAATGTGTTTCTGACAGCTTCACAGGGACATGAGAGGGAGGGGATGCCATGTCCAGGCTGAGGTTCACTGGGGAGGTGATGATCCATGTCACTCGGCTGGCCTGGGACATGGATGGGGCTGAGTTCCCCTCCTCCATGTTGTGGGTGGGGGCAGGATTGCATACAGGGCACAGGCATCACCTGGCGCAACGGTGTGTTGCTCATTGAAAAGTTGTTCTTCTTGCTTCTCCCCTTCAGAATTCACCTAATTTTCCTTCATGCTGGTCGCAGTTAGCCTGTGCTCAGGGCTCCTCACTGCTGCCCCACGGGGCCTTCAGGAGAGTGGGCCCATCCCTGTCACATACTTCACCTCAGTCTCATGTGGCTGCCCCAACCCTCGGTCTCAGCTCTCTTGTCAACAAAGGACAGATGTTCTGAGACATTTGTCAACTGAGAAATTCTCATGTGTGGCCCATGGGAGACCTCAGTCTTTCAGATATGCCCCAGTCCTTGTGCAAAATTCGGTGACGGGCATTGCAGTGGAAAGTTTCTGTGGATGGAGTTTGTGGGATACCTGATTTTGAGGTTTGCCAGGCTCGAGTCCCGTCATGTGTTCCAACTCAGTTTAGTGATAGAATGAGAGATACACCTATTCAACACTTTGGTTTCCCTCCATCTTTTGGTTACCATCACCTTGGCCTCAGGAGCTCCCAATCCCCTTCCCAGGACATCAGCCTCCAGAGCCATACCCAGGCTCATGGGAGAACAGGCAGATGGCAGGTTGCAAACTGAACACCTGTGACCAGGAAGCGGGGCCCATTGTCCACACCCATCTCAGGACAACTGATGGCCCAGAGTCAGAGCCTGTGTGTCTGTGGGAGAAGGTGCCTCCAAGGCTCAGGGCACTATGTGGTCTAGGAACCTAGGAGACCTCCTGAGAGGATCACCTCATCTGAGGGAAGAGGCTGCACTGCCCTGGGGAAAGGGAAACAAAAGGAAGGACCAAGTGTGTCTAACACTTTTCTCAGCTGCAGGCACAGAGACCTCAGCCAGGGCAAGGGAAAGACTGATCTTTACCGGGCAATATTTTCTACATGAAAATCTACATCGAATTATTTTTCATTGGAAATTATGATTATCAAATTTGAAAGATGGATGTACTTCATGTGTTTGTTTGGAATTGGGAAGATGTTTGGGCATAAGGTTAATCTGTTTTAATATCTACTTGAATGATCTATGAAATCAAAATTCAATGATCCCTCACCCAGTCCAGCTTTAACTGTTATACAAAGAAAGGGCTGTCAATTGGTCTGATTCAAAGTGGACTAATAACCCAACTACTCTCCCATACCTGACCTATACCATTGAGTCCAAGAGAAGAAATGTCCTCAGACCACAGAAAGACAGTGGTCTCAGTCTCTCCACATTTATGCAAATAGAGTTCCCCCATCCAAATTTCTTTCTCAGCTCCTGGTTAAATCTCCCCTTGGCTGTGAGGGCACACAGCTCTCTCCTCGCACAGGGCTGAGTCTCCGGGGAAGGCAGACCTGTGTGTAGAAGATGAGACTCCTGGGTCTCCTCTTGTGCCTGCTGACAGCCCCCTTGGATGAGTGTATCAGATGTCAGACACTGGACTATGGGATGGTGGTGAATGTACAGGGCGGACAGGGACTGATGCTTTTTGTCCCCAGGTGTCCGGTCCCAAGTGCAGCTGCAGGAGACAGGACCAGGACTGATGAAGCCCTCACAGACTCTCTCCCTCACCTGCACTGTCTCTGGTGTATCCATCACCAGTACACACTGTAGCTGGATCCGCCAGCCCCCAGGGAACGGGCTGGAGTGGATTGGGTACCTATATAGTGATGGAAGCACTTACTACAGCCCATCCTTCAAGAGCCGAGCCTCCGTCTCCAGAGACACGTCCAAGAACCAGTTCTCCCTCCAGATGAGCTCCGTGACCACTGAGGACGCAGCTGTGTATTACTGTGAAAGAAGAACACTGAGCAGAAGTCATCAAGAGCCCAGACACAAACCTCCCTGCAGGAAACAGGAAGGCTGGGATGCAGGGGTCACTCAGGACACCAGAGGAAGCCGTGGAAACCTACACTGTCATGGTCCACAGACTGTGACAGGCCAGGGCCAATTACTGGCTCCACTACTCCTGCATCAGCATCTGCTTCTGCTCCTGGGGAGACCCTGGTTCAGTGTCCACACTGTTAATATCCTTGAGGCTTCAGACAATGCACTCTGATATGGGCAACCTGTATGCTGTGTGTCAAAGAGACCCTCCACCCCCAAATCAGGGCTGCATTAACTACACTGTGTGGAAAAGTATACCCTGAGTGTGCACCTCCCCATGAGATGCCAGGATTTCTCATCATGGATTCTACAGGTCCCTGGTGCTAGTTGAACAGGAAACCACAAAGGTGGGCACTGCCCAATCCTTACATCAATTGTTTGTTTTTGTTCTGTTGTCACATTCAGCCTTTAAAATTTTGGGTGAGAATGAAGATCCTGCCCATATGCTAGGAACTGGGGAGAAGAGGGACCTGGTGTCTTTACCATGAAAAGTATCACTGTGTGAGTGTGTGTGTGTGTGTGTGTGTGTGTGTGTGTGTGTGTGATTTTTTGAGCAGTAAAAGTTCATTGGCATCAGTGACATGTGCAGGGATACTTACATGAGACCTGCAAGCAGGTGATCCCGGCACATCATCGTCTTTCAAAGCTGCTGAGAACTTCTGGACAACAGACACTGAGAAACCCATGCCATGTCATTCCAGATGAGACACTTCATTGCAGAGCTGGGGTTGGGGAGGAGGTGGCATGCAGAACTCATGATCTCTAGGCTCCTGCATCAGGAGTAGGTGGAGAGGGAACTGGGGAGGCATGTCCCCGGGAGGTTTCGGGTTTTTTTTTTTTTCCATAAAAAAAGAATCTAAAAGAAGGGTGGACATGGTGTGACTCTAAATATCTACCTCAATAACTGAATTTAGCACACATAGTACAAGAAGGAAGCCACAGTAAGTGCCAGTGTTTCTGCAGCTTCTTTATATCTGAATGTTAAGGGCCTGGAAACTCTGATCCAAAAATAAAACCTACAGGTATTAAACCCCAGAACACTCCTGATGTGTCTTTGTCCCTCAAAGGTGTGTCCTCAATGAAGAGTACATCCTATGAGGGGTTCACTCTTCTGTGAGAGGAACTTTGTCTACAGAGAGGTCAGAGGCCTGGCAGGGGACACATACCAGGTCACACTGATTCAAACTTGAACGCTGATCATCCCATTGATCATGTTCTCTGTGTCCTCTACCCTCCCCCACATGGAATCAGTTAATCAGGTAGGGAGTACTTTACCTCATGACTTGCAAATGAGAAGAGGTAAAGTAGGCTAAATATGGGTCTTCCTGTGCCCTGAGAGCATTACCCACAGCTATCCTCCCCTACAGAGTCCTGAAGGCACAGCCCCTCACCATGCGCTACTGTTGGGAAGCTACCTAGCTGGTGGCAGTGGCTACAGGTATGAGACTCCTTTGCTCTTGGGTAGAGAAGAAAACCAGGGGAAGTCAAGGGGAATTTCCACCCACTCCTGCCTCTGCTCCATTCATGTCCAATCCCAGGTGCAGCAAGTGCCATCTAGGGCTGAGGAGAGGAGTTATGGGGTCTCAGTGAAGGTCACATACAAGGTTTCTTGAGACACATCCACAAGTCATGCTGTGTGAGGCCCCAGGACAGGGCCTGAAATTTATAGGCTGGATCAACACAAATATTGCAAAATGCATAGAGGTCACAGCTTCTCAGAATGAGATTCCATCCTCATGGCCACCCCTGTCACCACCTCCTGTCTGCAGGTAAATCTTTTGGTGTCCTCAGACACAATTGTGTATTACTGTGCAAGAGGCTCAGTGTGATGACCCACTTCCTGAGTGTGTCACAAACCCTAAGAAGAGCGATGGTTGTACAGGGCTGAGGAGGTGACAGGGTGATGATCCCCCTGGCCTCCTCACTCACAGTCACAGAACAGAGACCAGAACTGATGCTGCCAGGGGCAAAAGTATCATAAGACCAGATGCACTGCAAGGAAGCGGCATGGAAGATGCTCTTGGAAGGATCCCTGCTATTTACTGTGATTTGCACATGGGCCACAATGGGAGCTTCCTTGTTTTCTGAATGAGAGATGTTTGCGGAGGCAGCGTCAGGGAATCTTGGGCCAGTTCAGCTTTTGGGAATTTGGACTCTAGTGACTCCCAAGAAAGGCCTAAGTTGTCCCGTATGTATACACAATGAAAGTGAGCTCAGGGAAGTGTAAGTGTGTGGATGTCAAAGATGAAATTCTGTGTCCTTTCCTTTGTCCAATCATCACAGAGATGGCACTCTGGCATCAAAATCAAGGGAGGGCAAGTGTTCCAGGTTCCAGCACTGTCTGTGACATCACAGAGTTCTTTAATTCCTTGCCGAGTGAGAGGTCCTAAGGGGTGGCATCCTCTGAGAGCACAGCCCCACATGCCATGTGTCTCTCTCCCTGGGATAATACTAATGATCATCACACAGGAGGGAGCAAGGCTGGGGAGTCCTTAACAAAGGGAGACCACACCCTACCCATTTGGTGTTCCTATGATAATGGAATCATTGATGGCAGACCAGGGGCTTTCATATGCACACATTTATTCCCATAGAATCTGCCAGTCAGAGTGTGAAAACCATTCAGTGGACAGAGGTGAAGGTGGTGGCAGGGTGACCCTGACTCCAGAGGCTCCAGGTAAGCACTGTGGCATGAACACATGTGTCTCCCTTCTAAGTTTATATGTTTAACCCCTCATCCCCAGAGAGAACAGTATTAAAAAGTGAGGAGACCTTTAACCAGGGGAACCTGAGGACATTGCAGACTCCCAAACTCTGCAAGAGCTTTAGGGCTCAGTGATATTGGCCAAGTCAGGGCATCTGGTAACTCCAGGGCAGGTGCTCTGATTTTCCAATAGTCCCCAGGTTTTGAGGCTCTCTGCTGGGTCGCTGGGTTGAATAAGGCTAGTTCTTTGTGCCCAGAGATGTAAAAGCACAAGGTGTCCTAGAGGGAGCATCCTGAAGTCAGGGTACTGACTACAATTCTAGAAAAGATATGCTGAATTGTCAATACATTGAGAACCCAGACAGGGTCCACTCCTGCAGGGTGTGGGATGGGCAGCAGGGGGCGCCCAGGACACACAAGATCAGGGATGCTGCAGAGTAACAAAAGCAGAGGAGCTGGGGAGACATTGACTATGAGGCCCTGGTTTTGTCTCTTTCCATGAAAACGTCGGAAACAAGAGCTAGACATTAGTTTCCTTTAACTATCTTATTTTGTCATAGAATATACCAAACTCATTAAGATATGAGACCTAGAGTAAATTATTTACAAGCCTTCTTTATATTTTGAATTCCAAGGAGCTGAGAACAAGGGTGGTTGTAGTAACTCAGTAGGTACAGCATTTGGAGACACACTGACCCAGAAATAAAACATTCATGTAATGAGGTCAGAACTGACCCAAGTGCTCTCTCTGTCACTGAAAGGTGGGCTCACAGTAAGGAGCATGTCCTGTGGGGAGATTGTTCTTCAGTGGGAGAAATTATGTCAGCATAGTGCCCAGCCTCCTGCCAAGGACACATATATGGCAACCCTGCCTAGACATGGAGTCTCCAGCTCCCACTAAGCATGGTCCTTGTGCCCACTTCCTTCTCTAAGGTGGGGTCATCTTCATCTTTGAAACTTTCTGCCTAATGAATATTCAAACAGGAAGAGGTAGACTAGGGTAAACATGGGTCTGTCAGTGCCCTGAGAGCAACACTCACAACCACATTCTCCCCTACAACGATTCCTGAAGGCACAGTCCTCACCTCGGACTGGAGCTGCAGAGTCTTTTACCTGGTGGCAGTGGCCACACATAAGGTACTCCCCAGCCCTGGGTAGAGGAGGGAATGAGGAACAGTTAATGGCCATTTCCACCCACTGCTACCTACTTTCCATTGAGGTCCTCTCCAAGGAGAATCTGGCACCATCTGGGGCTGAGGTGAGGAAGCCTAGGGATTCAGTGAACCTCCCCTTCAAGGCTTCTGGATATGCTTTCACCAGCTTCTGGAGGCACGGGGTGCAACAGGCCCCAGGACAAGGGCTTGAGTGGAAGGGAAGTGTTACCTCTAATACTGCTGGCAATAACCACACACAAAAGTTCCCAATCAGGGTTACCACGGCTGCAGACAAGTCCATAAGCTCAGCCTACATGGAGCTGAGCAGCCTGAGGGCTGAGGACATGATCTTCTATCACGGTACTACAGACACAGAGAGGGGGCGTCAGCATGAGCCCAAACAGAAACATCCCTGCAGGAAGGGCTAGGAACACCAGGGACTGTTCACATCCCCTAAACACAAAGAACATCTCAGGAGCTGGTTCATTGGGAGTTTTGAGTTGGTTTCCTGCGTGATTTCCTCTTCCTGTAACAGTTTCCCTCAAGACATCTCTCTGGGTTCCTCATTCTGAACTCAACTCTGAAGTCTCTGAGTTAGTCTGTGTTAAAGAAAGACTGATTTCTCACATAAACAAAAGACAGAGACTCTTTCAGACACTGTGGTGCCCAGTTCCAATGAATCATCTACTCTCTTCACCCACATCAGCTGAATCTAAGCTGACTTTCTGCTGGACCCAACACTGTAGCCCAGCCCCACACAGCTCAGTGTCCAAGGCAGCCAGAGCAGGGCACCTGCCTGCTGGACAGTGGACACCAGAGTCAAATGGAATTAAAGCCAGAAGGTGCACCCGCCTTGTGGTGATGATCATTGATTTAACATCATGTTCACAACACCAAGAGTAGATACCATGACAGGGACAGCAAGACACAAAACAGGTTGCTGTGGATGTCCAGGCTGATGGCAGACACACACACACTGAAGGGTAAGGAATGTTTATCATGCTCATAGGAGACATCTCTGGGAGGATTGGGAGAGGCCCTTCTGCAAGTCAGTCGCACTTTGAGAGACCCAGGAAAAACGACTGGCTCAGGAGTTTATTTTGTTGAGATGGTGGTGAGGGGATTCTGCCCACAGGGTTTGTGTGCTTTCATTTGACAATAACATCTGAAGGTGAGGCCTGGTCTTTCTTCGAAGATTTCCTATATGGACAGATGGAGAAGTGGCAAAAATGATCCATCAGGTACCAGTAGTCAAGTATAAAATAAAAGTGAGTTTGACTATGTATTTCACTTATCAACCATAAAAAGGGAGCAAAAATGAGATAAATGATCACTTGCATGGAGATCCACCATGTCTACAGAAAATGAAAAGAATGATTTTAACTAAGCATACGATGATGAAAATTAAGATGTTTGGTGGTGATGACAGAGTTAGAGAGGGGTCTTCATCCAACGTCTTAGGATTTTTCCACACAAGTTGATCAGGTTTTGGAAGGCCTTCACTCTGATGACTGCTTCAAAAAATTCCAGGCTCCCCAAAATCTGTGAGGATCATAAGTTTAACGAGCCCTAATAAACCAAACTTCAAATTTAAGAGAATTTTGTGTGATTCTTTGGATGTGAAACTAAACACAAAAACGAACACCATGGAGTTTCGCTGCTGCCTTTGCTGCTGAAACAACTTATATGTTTCCTTCCAATGAGGTTTGAGAGAGAGTTTACTGTACTGGCCATCACAATATGTAGAATTCACTGACAACTGCAGAGTCTGTTAGAGAGTTTGATTAGATAGGCAGCTTTAATCTGTGGGTGACATGAAGGGGTATTTAGCATGAACAGTTTTCACTATTCTTTCCTGACTGGAATGCAGCATGACCGAGGTCAGCTGTGAGTGCAAGTCACTAATTACATGGTTCCCTCCATTCTCATGTCACATGGGACAACTGATGTGTCTTGAGGGAAGCTGGTGGGTCACCAGTATGTTTGTGAGGACCTGTGGACACAGCAGCTCAAAGTTAATGAACCTATAAAAGTTTTATGTAAAAATGTTTTTTTAATCTTTACAGAGATTGTGGATAGTGGTGGCCAAGAGGTGTGGACACCTGACCATATGACACAGCGCTGGATTGTGACACATCTCTACAGTGAGCACTTCTGTCACTGCACAAAAAAATTGGGGAAAATGGAATCTCAAGCTGCTTTTATTAGCTGAGTGGAGTGTAGGTTTCTGTCATGGAATTCACTCCAGGCATCGCAGAAATGCACACAAAGTGACTACAACAAGTCCACACCCCAGACAGAGTGAAGCTGGATGAAACCATCCGAACTCTTCAAAGGGTCCTTGAGGACTGGCCCCTGGTCAAGCCTCACCTTCACTGCTGGGCCAGGATTTGCTGTTTCTGGTAACATAGGAGCATGAATCAACCTCTTCTGTCTCTGAAAGTTTTCATATGAGTGATAATTGAAAGTGATAGCAGTGTGTCTATCCCATGGATGCAGTTTCAGAGGGAAGTTTAACAAGATTCATTTGAAAGTATCTGATTCCAAATGACAACGGTTTAAAATAATCAAATATCTGCGGGAGATAGGCAGTTATAAAATTTTACTTTATTTTTACTTAAAACCAGTGTCTAAACATACACATTTTCCAGCAACTGCTTTGCATTCTTCTGTCGATTCATCTTTTGAGGGATCATATGG